CTGGCATAGAAGGACGACCAATTTTTGGTCACCAACTGCTGCGGCTCGGTCTGTGTTCGATGAGCAGCAGACATTGGCTAGTGTCATTTTCTCTGACTTATCTTGACTGTCAAGATTTCGCTGGACTTTGGCTTGTGATGATTATGTGATTTCAAAGCGTCGTGGTGGCGAACACAGGTAATTGAAATCGTCCAGCCGCTGTCCTTCAATGACTCTGCCGAATGAGTTCTTTGGCAGGCGGTTTTTGTTCCCTCGTTGTTAGCCTATGCCAAATGGCGCTGAAGGCGAACAACGATCGCACAGGGTGCACTTGCCGGTGCAATGCTGCGCAATTCACCGTCTCGTATTTGGCGATGTCTTTGCCGCCGGATTACGGTCCACGTTCCAAGCGAGAATGGGACGTCCGGAGCTTCGATTTTCTCGACCGCCGCTTCCTCGTCGTCACTCATCCTCCACGAAGCGCACCTCTGGCGAAGACGCAGCGAAAATTTTAGTATATCGATAAATTACACGAGTACATGGTTTTTGCGCAAATGCAATTCCAACTTTAGCCCACACCGTTATCACTGCATGAACGAGCAGATAAAGTTATTGCTACGATGCTCTTTACGCTAACCATAGGCGCCTTTTGCAGGAGACGAACCAGGGGACATGAACAAACAGCTGATCAGGTCGGACCGGACCGGAATGGTTCAGACCGGAGCGGACAGATAGACATGTCTCGGCTGGTTTGGCCAGACATAGCCAGCCATCGTGGCGAAAAGGTGATCCTGCCCAGGAAGAACAAGGCCAAGTCCGGCTTGCAGGTTCACAGCAACTTCTGGACCAGATCCGAACGAAACTACCGCAACGTACACTTCCTGCTGGTCAACAGCAGGACGCTGAAAAAAGCAGGTGAGGCAATGCGGGTTTTTGCTGTCGCGTGAATACACACACTGGGATGTCCACGAAAAACGAAAGGCGAAAGGCAAAGACGGTGGCTCGGTTTCTGAAAGCAAGGTCGGATTTGATATCCTGTCTTGCTTTTCGGAACGAGCACGCTCTTTCGACCGTGCGATCATAATGTCGCCGCACCCAGTGGACACGGAGGGTGATTGTCAGGCAGTCGCGTACTGAGGCTGAGGTAGGCGGCCGTCGTCTGGTCCTCATATGGTGGCGGGGTGTATCATCAGCAAATGCGATCGGAGGAAAGAACGAGGCGCCGCTGCCGTGTTAGGTACGGGAGATGAAATTGATTAGGTTTCTTCGGTTGGGAGGACTCGGAACAGCCAGCCAGCTTTCAGAACATTCTGGTGCTAATAATTTGATTGTGGCTGACAATATCGGCTGATTTACTTACATTGATTGAGTTTAAACGGTTAAAGCCATCAGCGGGCGATTGTTCGCACAAACGCGCGTCAGGCCGCCTCTAAACTCTTCTGTCATGACTCGACACTCGTCCGGTCGCCCTCCTCCAGCAGCTCTTCTTGTCCGTCCTCGCCGCTCGCCGCTGCCGCTGCCGCTACCGCCGCCGTCGCCCCCGCCTCGTCGTCAAATCGTCTCTCAAATCCCAAAGGAGGGGAGCCGTCGTGCGGAGTCGATGTGACGACCGCGCTGACCAGCAGCAGTCGTCCTCGGTCGTCACGTCAGCTCACCTCATCACGCAACCTCAGGTGTGATCCGTCCGTCCTTCCGTCCGCCGCCGCCTCAGCAGTCATGGCCCTCATGAAGGCTTTCTCGTTTATCGAGTGGATGCGACACGTCTCCGGACAAGGTAAGCTCGGTCGGCGGCCTGCTTGCGTCGTAGCTGTTTTTCGTCGCCTTCCGTTGGCCGTAGTCCACCATGCCGTCCACCATGGCGAATATAGCTTAGGCCTAAATTCGTGACCACCAGTAAAAGATGTCACGGTCTGTCTGTCTGTCGACCGTCGGTAAGGGGTGGTCGTCTCCTTGCCAACCAATAGATCGCTTCCAGGGGGACTTTATTAATTAGAGCATTGCGAAACAATAACGATTCATGCCGTAATTGTCGCATTGTGAAATGCTGTGCCGTGCACCGCATGATCGCTGTACAGCAATTCGATGATTGGTTTCGAGTGTGGGCCAGAGCCTGTTTTCCTGTCCGCCCTCGCGATGCCGAACATTCACGTTTCTACTCCATAAAGCAATTACGGCACAAGCTTACGCCACTCCGGCCCAGAAGCATTTCGTCTCCCTCATTAGCATTTTTCGACGAGGCCTAACCTCATCGGCGAGGGTTCATTCGGTATACACGCGAGGTCCGTTGCCCAGGCATCAATCATGTATCCAAACACCGTAATCGTATTATGAAGTTGTCAAGCCGCAGCAACGGAGGCACTCAATGTTCCTCTAATTGATTGATAAATGTCGCTTTCCTTCGATTGTTCCGCTTTCGCTGTTCTTCGGCACCCACCGGTTCAGCATCGACTCAAAATCATACACAAATAAGTAGGAAATTAAGGAACATTCTTTTGTCGGTGTCTTCTTCATGCCTATGCTTTATTCTTTGTTTGCTGATCAGAAGGCTACCGAAAATTTACCAGTCGTTCACCCGTTGTTCTGGTTGATTTGTCACGTGGCAGCGATGAGTAGAAAATGAAAAATTGAAACTGACACGAAGTCATGATCATATTTTTCTATCTGACTGACTCGGCATGCACGTCACCCTCAGTGCAGCTTAAGCGTTCAACAATTTCAATCATCAATACATTATGTACCGTTGGAACCACTCTGGAAACTATCACAAATCGGCAAAGCTTAGAGAATATCACTGTGTTTTCTGATAACAGTGACTAAGAAGATTTGTATTAATTGCTTATATACTGTAACATACTTTGTATTGTATTTCAAAAAATAGAATATCCAAGATATCGTATAAAATGAACAAGCTGCGAAACGGTCTTCTGCAACCCTACAGTAAGAGTTGCCATTAAACTTGTCACTATGACCAATAAAAGATGCATTTTGGAGCTTCTAATTGAAAACGAACAAAGCGTTAACTAATTGTAGAGCATGTCATAGTAAAGATACGTGGCAAGTGTTTTGTGTGTTGCTTGACAGATAGCCCTTGATTGTTCCAAGACCATATTTTACAGAGTATTGCGGCTTCTCCTTGCTCCTAATTGCTGAGGGGAGACGTTCAAACAGGTCTCGGCTCCATGGTGCTTGAGCACCTGCAGGTGCAGCGGAGTTCGCATCATTTTGTCTGATGAAACTACCTCGCACTCATCATGAACGAGGTTGCCGAAGTTGGTAATCGCAATACTCCATCGCATTAGCATCGAAATACGTTCGCACGAGAGGGTACGTCAAATAACTCATGACTCGTCAAAAACCAAATTTCAAGGCGAACTGCATGTTGTTTGGCATGATCATCTTAAGCCACGTTGCAAAATCACGAACTGCTGTTAATGATTCCTGAGGTTTGTTCATTCTAACGGTTTCCATGTTGTCTGTAGGTGTCCCCTGTGTCAATGAAAGGAAAACTACTTTGTTTTGGATTCCGCTGCAGTGTGGCTTGCCAGTCACAGATCCTTCATTCATCGTGTTTCGCTTGCCACATAAGCACCTGACCAACAAGTTATAATTACAAATAAAGACTTTCACAGGGACTGCATCATCGCAAATTTCTTCATGTATTGATCGCCTTTGTGTTGCCAATTACATCCCACTCCACACTTTACCTCAAAGCTGGATTCAGCGTCACTGAAGACATTTTTACCCTAGATTTTTTTCACTTATTTTCAAGGTGTATTGACCTTTAATTATTCACGTGCTTACTATTGAACGCAGGTTCGGCTCTGCAACATTAATGAGGTATTTTTTCATTTCCGTGGCAGATCCGGAAATGATTCAATGTTTATATTCCCTGAGCTGCTGTTGCAAATCATAAAACTTCAGAAAATAACGTAATTGGTTTCGAAGACTGTCATGGAGCCGATTAGCAGGCCAGCTTTGTCCCAGACTTTGAAGAGCGCTTGTATAAATATGATGGGTCAATGAGTCAGACTCCGCGTCAACAGTGACGACAAATGCCATCTTCCGTTCAGAAGGACGACAATGCGAAAGTCCAACTTTTGGATTTCATGAAACTTTTATTGATTTCTGGTCGTGCAAATGAGGCTACAATTGTTATTTCCTTTCAATTCGCAGGTGTAATCCATCACACATCATCCGGATCCTCCGTCAGTGTGTGCCATAAGTTTCAACCCTCACTTCACAGCATCAAATAAATGATGAAATGGCTCTCTCATTAGTGATTTGTGGACAAATGCAGAATGTGACAGCAAAGCAAGCTTTGCGTGTCTTTCTTCCAGACGAAACTCTGCCAGTGAAATTGCTAATCGTTTTCTTAGTCGACCCCATGAAGTTCGTGGCACTAAGATGGGTGGCGGAGACTGCCATTTCACCCACGTACTTAAAACCACCCCAGAATCAGAAAACGTTTTAGTCTTGCGCCTTCTATGCTTGGCTGTGCTTTTCAACGTGGGACACATGGGGCCAAAGAATCAATCATTTATAAACAGTCGACATTAAAGATGAAAACGCTTAGTTTTTCGTGTCTTCATTATGGGACAAAACAAAGCAATGTATCGGAACGCTGCTGTGGTGGGAAATACTTAATGGCGTAGGGATGCGGTCAAAGGTAAAGCTGGAAGCACCAAGCGAATTCAGTGATGCTCAGGATAATTTTTTCTATATCTGTCACCAGATCATTATGGTATCTGGTATTCGTAATTCAGTCTACTGCAAAATTGAGCGGATCTATTACTCCAAATGGATATGAAACATTGACAGTAAGGGAAGTGAGTTATCCAGTGAGATGGAAACAATCGATCGTCGGCACTCAGCTTAAAGTGTGATGTTTTACAGTTTAAACGGAAACTCAAGAGACAGAAGTTCTCAGTAGAGATATAGGGTAGCAGCAAAAGGTGTATGTAATAAGTTAATAAGGCTTAGCAAAACAGCATAATAATTTAAGTAAGGATAGCTGACAGATTGCATCAGCCATATGGATGGGAGGAGTAGAACAATCTCACGTCAGGTAGAAGCTGAAGTCGT